CCCGGCGGCGGGGAGAAGAGCCATCAGCGCAGGCAGCCGGCAGAGCCACTGCCACCGTCCCCAGGGCCCCCAGTCCCCGTACCCCTGGGCGGATGGGGATGTCTGCCACACCATGGAGTGAGCTCCAAAGCAAGGCTGTTCCCCTGCTCAGGAGGACACACCACGTTGTTCAGAGCCAGCACTGGCTGCGAGGTCAGAAGTGGGCTCCCTGGCCAGCCTGGCACTAGCACTCGCCTCTCGCTTGCCCCCCAGCTTCATACACCCCGGGGGCGGGTTGTCCTCATCTCCTGCTCCTGGGGTATCTCATGCCCGGTGGTGCTGACCCCTCTGTCCCTCATCCCTGGGTCACACACAGCCCTTGGGAGCCTGGAGGTGATGGGTGGCAGCAGCATTGCTGCAAGAAGGGGACACGCTCCTAAAAGCTCCTCCAACCCCCCTGGGCTACTGCGGGCAAGGGAAGGGGAAGGAAGCATCCACCCCACGAGTGACGCAGCCCCGTGGCAGGACACGCCATGAGGATGCACCCACCTGCTCAGCCTCCCGCAGCTGAATCTCTAGAGTCCTCTGCATCTCCTCGTGCTGGTGCTTCCGCCGCTGCTCCTCCTCCTGCAGAAGGATCTCTGCCCTGTCTGGATCTGGGGAGGGAAGGGGAGGGTCAGTGGGGACGCGGTGGGGGCCACAGGGAAGCTGGGGAGGGGGCGCAGGGTGGGCACAGACCTAAGGTCCATTCCTGGCGCTGCCGGGTGTCGGAAGCGCTCATCTCATAGGTGCGGGAGGAGGTCTTCACGCAGAACATGCACCTCTTCCCATCCCGGTCGGGCAGAACCTGCAGGGAGAGGACACAGGATGGCGTTACCCCCCTGTACCCTACCTTATCCCCACTTTCTTCGGCCATAGGACTGGGTCTCCCATGCTTGTGGATGGGAAACTGCATATTCTTGGGTTCCCCTTCCCGGGGTCTCCTGTCCCCCAGCTGAGCATGGCCCAGGCTGTACCTCCACGCAGCAGTGCTTGTCCAAAGCGATGCTCCCCTTCTTCTCCTTCCGTTCCTCACTCATGTAGTAGGACAGGACACTGGGCTTCAGCGTGAACCACCGCTCCGACCAGTTCCTCCTCAGCTGGCCCTTCTTCCAGAGGTAGCCCTGCGCCCAAGAGACACGCGGATCAAAACCGGGGTGGGGGCAGGACGGGGTTTGTGCCCCAGGACATGGGGGCTCCTTGCCTGTTTGAGCACATCCTCGATGACCTCCTGGTACACCTCCTCCACAGCCATGCTGACGGCCTCCTGCTCGATGCCTCTCAGGAACCGCCCCGAGTTCACCATGTCCAGGAACTGCCAGACCGTCAGCCCCCCCTGCCCCTGCGGCTCCTGGGACAGGTAATCATCCAGCTCGCAGGAGTTCAGCTCCACATTCATGGCGGTGCAGATCTTCTTCAGCAAATACTCCACCTGCGGGGACGGGGAGCTCAGCAATGGGGAGAAGCAAGAGCCATCCCCACCCCACCAACCCATTTTGGAGAGCCCAAGACCACATCTCTTTCCAGCCTGGAGATGCAGGACCATTATCCCAGCAGTATCACCCCTTGTGATGGTTGACAGTCATGGTCAAGGTGTTCCAGGCAGCAGACAGGCTCAGGAGGTTGATGTTGGGTTAGAGCTTGACCGCTACTGCGAGGTTTTTCCTTTTAACTGCAAGGCTGGGATGGTTTTGGCTTGTTTGTCTGCAGAGAAAACTCTGCACAAGCCAAGTGCCTGAGGGAGAAGAGACCAACGGTGCTGTCCCTCACACTCAGCCCGCAAGGCAGGTACCTCAGACCATGACCCTGACCTTGGCATCACTCTGGTTCCCAGCAGACGTCCTAAAAACACTGGGGAGGAGCAGGGGAAGAGGTCCCTATGGAGGAATCATAGAATGTTTGGGGTTGGAAGGGATCTTTAGAGGTCACAGAATCATAGAATGTTTGGGGTTGGAAGGGGTCTTTAGAGGTCATCTACTCCAACCCCCAAAGGAGGAGACGAGCATTGTTTTGAAACTGTAAATAAATTGCTTTAAAGGGAGCTAAAAGTGTTGAGAATAGCCTGACGTCGGGAGGACCTATTTCAGGTTTTGCTGCCAGCTCTCCTCTACCCACGGTCTAGGGGCCAGGGAGGGTGGGTGGCCGCAGAGAGCCACGCAGAAAGGTGAAAACCAGCAGGGTCCCCGCACCCAGCTGGATTTTTCTTTGCACCATCTAACTAGGACAGCAGGACAAGAATTTACTGTAGTTTTTTTTTTTTTTTTTTTTTTTTTTTTTTTTTCTTTTTTCTTTTTTTTTTTTTTCAAGCTCAGCCCTGCAAGCAGAAAGATGATTCAGTTTGTCATGGTCTGGGGAACAGGAAACACCTCTCCCGGGGAGCAGGAAGTGCGGTTGCCCTCCTACGTCTGCGCAGCACTGTGTTTCTTGTCTTTTTTTTGCCCTTTTTTTTTTTTTTTTTTGGCTTTTCTGCTGATCTCAGGAGGTTGATGGTGTAGGAGCCAACGGCAGCTGCTTGCCCAGCTGAGCCCCCCTCCTGGCAAGGCCACTCTTGGCTTCTGAGCTTGTCCCTCCCTCCCCAGATCTGCCCACCTTCTCGCTGGGGTTTGATCTGACCCCCAGAGAAGGGAGAACCCCCCCCTCCAAATGCCAGGTGGAATTTGGAGATCTGGAGATTACTGCCAGCAGCTTTGCAGGGCAGCCAGGGCAACCTCGCTCTTAACTCTCTGGATGCTGGTTGGTGGCAACGGGCATGGAAAGGGACAACTGGGTCTGCTCTGCCACTGCCTTCGTGGTGGCATGGGCTGAAAGCAGCACAAGGGACACAGCCCTGTCCTGCCTGACAGCGATTCCATGGGGAGCAACCGCCCGTCGCACCAGACTTGAAGGATTTTCATCTTCTCTTTCTCCCTCATCGAAATCAGGAGGAGTCCTCCAACACCGTGCTCAACTCAACGCTTGGGTGGGATGGAAGGGCTTTAGGCAAGGGACCAGCCCCAGCAGGAGCTGAGCTGCGTATGTTCCTTTGCTGGGGCTCTGAGAACTGGCACATTCATGTCACAGCAGAGAAAAGAGCTTGTTGGTGTAGGCTTGGGCCATGGCAGAGCACTATGGACCAGCCCACACCTCATCCTCCAAGACATCTATACTTGAGAGGCTTCAGCATTTCGGAGGCGTCCTCCCAGGTCACCCCCCTCTCCCTGGGCAGCGGGGGTGGCCATGGGCACAGCCGGGGGTGCCCGGGGCAGACAGCCCCCTCCTCCTACCCCTGGCCTGCTCGCCCTCACACCCTGGAGCACCACATCTTTTAGGATGTGGTGGGACATGCCAGGAAGCGATAGTGGGATGTGTCATCCCCAACCGCGGCTCTGCCAGCACGCAGAGCCCTGGGAGGATGAGGATGGGCCGGGGGGGAGGCAGGTCCTACCTCATCTGGCACCATGACGAGAGGGTATTTGTCTTCAGACAGAAAGTTGAAGAGACACCAGAGCTTGAAGGCATCTTGGTGGGATACAATGCTATTCCCGTTCCGGTCAGGCTTGTAATTCTTCTTTGCAGTCAGGGTCCAGCAGAGCTCATCAAAGTTTTCTTTGACAAAAGCACCTTCCTCCACCTGCGGGCGGGAGCCAGGGGGTGAGTGTGGTGCTGCAGGGCTACAGAGGGGGTTTGGGGGGGGAAGCACTGGCAGGAAGAAACCTTCACACCTGAAACCTGTCCCAGAGGGTGAGAAGTATGGAGTGATTGGTACATGGGACCCATAACTAGAGTGGAAGTGGGCACAGACCCACGATGCCAGAGTACACGTCCCCAGCACGGGTCCCCTTATCCACGCCAAGCAAGGCATCCTGGCCGGTAGAGGAGATGCTACAGCAGCACCTGGGCATCACGTCACAGCCATGGTGGCTCAGACATGTCCTGCTGGGCTTTGGAGCACCACCAGGAACCCCCACGGCAAAGCCCACCTCCCCAACACCTCCATGGGTTGCTCTCGTTATCCCATTTGACCATAAAGAGGAACTAAGCCTCGGCAAAGGGAAGCAATGGGCCACAGGCAGGCAGCAGCGGCGGC